GTCTTCAATGGAAACAAGAAATTGGGTTATGGTTGTGAGAAGAAAATAAACTAAACAGCTGGTGAGCTGGGAATAACCATGAACCCTGCTCAAAGAAGGTAGGAAAAAGACTGAGGAACTGACTGAAAAGGCTGTCATAAAGCCAGCAGGAATGTGTTCTGTTCTCAGTCGAAGCAAAAGCCAGGGCAGTGTGACAGAATCCCAGTCCTCAGGACAGACCTAAGACTGTTGCTCTCCAAAATATGATACAGAATATTAACATGAAGCAATTTATCCAGTCGAGATGCAAGCAGTTTTGAGCCCATTTCTAGCTGTTATATTCCCTCTTTCGTGATATCTATTTAGGAGATGGTTTTTGCAGACGCATGTGCCAATATCTTTTTTCCATTTTTTCCCTTGCTGTTCTCATCTGGCTATAGGCTGTCACATCAAATAGCAATTTATATTCTATCTGGTCCAAAGCTCATCTCCAGTACAAAAGAACACATTTAACATGGCAATCAATGATTCTTGACCTCAGTGTCAATGACGGTTGCACATGGTCTCTCCAAAGCTGAATTCAACAATGCAGTTGTACCAAGTAGATTAGCTGCCTCCCCAGTTCTTTTCAATTTTAACATCAAAAAATGGTAAACTGTTTTTCATCATTCCTGTGTTTATTTCATGTTTAAAATAGATGGTAAAAGCTGAAACAGATCAAAATCTGCTTGTATTCACCAGATCAAAACAAAGATCAGGCAAGGTACTGATGCTGTAGTTCATTCATGCCAGTCCCTCAGTACTAAGTGATTTTAGTCCTGCTTTTTTTTTTTTTTTTCTGTTCCTTGTCAACTTTTTACAATATATCAAAATCTTTACAATACTTCAGCAAACAAGAAAACTTCCTTCCACTGCCATTACTGTTTCTGAGAGAGAGAGAGCTGAGCTATGACTTGACCCTAGGAAAAAAGTCAAAACCAAATCCAAAACAGTTGTCTCATGGGCTATTCCTAGCTTTTAGCTCACCATAAACATTTTGTTTGGTTAGAGTATGTCTAAAACAGACTCCATCATGGTCAGCAGTATGAAATGAAGAAACAATATTTATTAAGATAGGAAGATTGTACTGTTTTTTCTCTGTGTAAATGCTCTTTCTCACGGTTCCCAGAGGACCAGAAGGAAAGCAAACATGAAACAGTGATGAGATAAGAGGGGAAAGAAGTGAAAGTGTTTTTTAAAATAACTTTCTCACTGGTAATGCCTTGTTCAGGCTGACTGAATTGTTGTAAGGCAGAATATATGTATAATGCCAAAAAAAGATTTAGTATTTTACTGCAAGAAGTACTGGCCGCTTGGAAGTCTGTAATACAAAGACAAATCCATTTGCCTTAAATGAAGGTAAAGAATAATTAAAAGAATTGTACTTAAAAAAAAATGTTTTAGTACTGAAGGAACAGGGTGCCTGAGTAAGTACCTCAGTGAGGAGCTTTTCCAAAATAACATTTACACGGGGAAGAGCTTCTTTTTCTTTAGTAACTTTTTCTTAAGTAACATTTTAGCAGGAAATCTTTTTTTTTTTTTTTTTCCCTCTCAGTGGATTGATTTGAAACCAATTTATGTAGCACATGAAGAGTTGAAGAACTAAAAGTAGGTAGAGATGCACAGAATATTTTTGGTGAAGCAGCATGCTTAAGGCTGCCTAACAACAAAGGGATCAGGAGCAGATTTGAAGCACTGATTCAGCACTGTATTAGTAAAGTGACAAATACATTATCTGGCAATCTGGGATTGTCATTACCTCTGAAAGATTTGTTCTGTGGAGCTATCTGTGAAAGCAGGTTGATAGTGGGTATTATGTCCTGCATAAAGGCAGTAACTGGAATCATTTACATTCCTTTACTGGTCTGTCTCTACACAATTTAAAAAAAAAGGGGGGGAGCGGGAGGTGGTGGAGCAGGGAAGCCCCTGCATTTTAGACGCCAGGCTATGAAAGAAAGAATGAGGCAAGACTCTCCAGTATTGTGACGGAGGCATACAAAGCATGTGATGACTACTTTTTTGCCCTTTTCCCCCTACTGTAATATAGTAAAAGGTCACCTTTGATTCCACAGCCATAAAAAGCAGAAACAACCTTTATTGCTATTTCTTTGGTAATGGAAGCTGAATTTCTCCTATGTTTGCACAAATCTTAGAATCGAAGGTCTAAGAAAGAACAAATATTTACTGAAGAAAAACATCAAAATACTAACTGGTTTGAACTAGCTTCTGTACCTTGCTTGCTCTTGTTTTTTCTCTCAACTCACTTGGGCTTCATAAATCTTTCCTTTTTGTCACTGGATTTTTCTTCACACTACCCAAAGCTTTGCATTTGCTAAAAGAAGTACACTCATTTCTACTTTCAATGTTTTAAAATCTGTTTTCTGTTCCTTTTTGTAAAGAAGGTGAAGACCTTTCTGGTCTGTTTGTGATACTGCAACTGTGTCAAGCATACACTGCAAGATATGGGCCAAGGTGCTCCTCACACCATGTTGGCATTTGATACAAAAAGATTATTCAGGTGTAAAGTTTGCAAGTAAATAGGCTGTAAAACATCATATGTTAGCTGTTCTGTGGTTTTTCAAGATTAGGGACTAGGCATTTCTTCAGCCATCTATGTATGAGTCTCTTAATCACCATGGGCATTTTGATACATTTATTTGCCAGCCATGCCAAAGCAGTTGGCCTCTATCTTTAGTATATGAAGACAGATCAACAGTGTTAATGATAGTATAATGAGAGTGTTTATTTTGTCTGACCTGTAAATAATCCAAGCACTAATTTCACCCTTCACCTTAAGCAGCACAAAAATGGATGGCGAAGGGGAGTCCCAAACAAGTAAAAATTAATTCATTCAACAAAAAGCCAATGCTAGGGTCTTGTGGCAACTTTTACAGAACACATTATTTTTTTAGCTGAGGATGAGCAACATTTTATTGCTCACTCGCAGTAAGTTTATGTGCTTTTAACCTAGCTTCATTTTTTTCATAGACATAATTAAAACCATATTCTAAAGAGCTCAGGCACATAGCACTGTAAGAATGTCCTCATTACAAAAATGCTGCTGATCCTGCCATTCTCCTCACAGTACTCTGTTCCTTTCATGTGCAGTCAAAATACCTCTCTTCTAAAGAAAACTGTGAATTAGAATCTCTATATGCTCCTGAAAATTTGATCTTCAGCTACTGGAAGGAGAGGAATGACTGTAGAAAGGGGACTCCTAATGAGAACAGCATTATCCACGCTTTCACTCTATGACAATTTGTCACATCAGTAGAGAAAACATGTCTTTTTGTTACCAAGCTATAGCATGGCAATACTGTTAATTTAAAGGGAACTTGACTATGGAAATACTAACCCAAAGATTTCATGCTTCTGACTTCTCGTGAGGTTTTACTGACTGCTGCTGCTGACCATCTTAAATTTTGAGCTTTATTTGGAAAGGCTCACATATGAGATGCCAAAATGTGGCTTCATTTAGCCATGTGAGAGATCAACTGCAACTCCCATATCATTTTTCTTTTTACTATTCCATTTAATCTTCTAAGAGCAAAAACAGCACATTGTTTACATGCACATAGATAGAACCTGGAAAAGTCATGAAAAACAATTTGTAACCAATTCACCTTGTGAAAGACTCTTCTCTCCCACCATTTTCTGATGAATAGAATTGCTATTCTAGTTTAGTAGTTTTGCTACTAAAATCATAAATTGCCTTTTGACATTTTGGAATGTTTCAAATTGGGTTTCAATCTGAGTGTTAATTTCAACTGAAAATTTGGGGCAATGCATTATTTGAAAACGAAGGGTGTTTCCCCGATCACATTTCTAGGGAACTGTGAAAAATACTGCCTTAAATGGCCGACTTGCAATCTAGCAGCACGATGTTATGAACATACCTTTTCATTGCTGTCACCCTGGCTGCTGGGCCACTGTATCTTTTCAACCAAGCCCAGAGACCTGAGCGAGGGACTGTGGAAGGCTTCTCGCAGTTCGGGAAAAGGTTTTCAAATCCTATTTTTAATTTCCCTGGAAATCTCACAGGTGAAACAAGTCTCAGTTTGGAAAGCTCCCAGAAGTGCCTTGTCAGTGATTGTCTGTGGGGAAGACATCTATGGGGGGCATATTCAGCTCTGGGGGATGCACACTTTTCTGTCCAGATTCATGTATTTCTACTCTTTTTTATCACTTTGTTAACCCCTAAACGAGGGCATATACGGAGCCTCCCTACTGTAAATTTACAGACACCTTGATACCAGCAGAGTCGTTTGTGCCACAGCTCTGAGGCGCGCGGGCCGTTGGAGATCTAACGGTCGCCGCGCAGCGAGGGGCGCGCGGCCGTTGGAGCCCTAACGGTCACCGCGCGGCGGGCGGGGCGGGGCGGGGCGGGGGCGGGGCGAGGGGCGCCGCGCGAGGCGCCTCATTCCTCCACCCCCGCCCCCMCCCCTCTCCCGCCTCCCCCCGCCTCCACGTGCTCGCGCGCGCCCGACAACCTCACTTCCGGCCGGGCGGGAGGAGCGCACAGCCTGCGCGTGTGGAGGGAGCGGGCGCCGCGCATGCGCCGTTCGTGCGCGCAGGGGCGAGGCGGCGGCCCCGCGTAGCGCTGCCCGCCGCCCCCCTCCACCCCCCCGCCATTGCCCCTCCCGCCCCGCCCGGGCCCGGAGCGAAGTCCGAGGCGCCTCGCGGAGCCCGCGGCGCCGCTTCGCCCGCCCCCTTCTCCTCCTCCTCCGCCTCCTCCTCCGCCTCGCTCTCGGCTTCCCGGTGCGGGCGCGGGGGAGCCGCGGGGCGGGGCGGAGCCGCGGGGCGGGGGCCGCGGCCGGCATGTGAAGCGGGACAGCCCCCTCCTCCCCCGCCGTCAGCGCGCGCGCAGCCTCCGGCGGCCGTTGGGTAACGGCCGCCGTTGGGTAACGGCCGCCCGCGGGCTGCGCTCGCCCCCGGCCGCGCCCGGCGGAGGCGCGCGGGGGGCTCCCCGCTGGCCGCCCGCCATGAAGAAGTTTTCTCGCATGCCCAAGTCGGACGGGAGCGGCGGCTCCGGCGGCGGCGGCGGCGGCGGGACGGTGTGCGGCGGCGGCGGCAGCGGCGTGGCCCTGGGCAAGGCGCTCGCCGTGGGACGGTACCAGGTCACCCCCGAGGAGCTGCTGGCCGAAGGTAACGGGGTCGCGGCCGCGGGGAGAGAGGCAGAGCCGCCTCCTGCCCCCCAACACCCCTCGCCAGCCGCCGTTTCGCCCCTTCACGCCCTAAATAGCCGCTTACCCGCCGTAAGCCGGTTAAGGGCTTTTTTTTTTTTTTTTCCCCTTTTACCCCTTTCTTCTTCCCTTCTTGTTTTTCGTTGTTTTTTTTTTTTTTTTTTTTTTTTTCCTTTTTTTCTCGTTGCTGTTGGTGGTGGTTTCAGCGGCGGGGCTGGGGAGTTTCCCGGCGGATCGGCCTGAGCGCAGCCGTGGCCGCAGAGGGGCCTGCCCGGGGGGCCAGGGCTGCAGGGGGGCGAGGGGAGCTGTGCCCCTCTTTCCCCCCCACCCCTCCATCCTGGGGAGGGCATATTGCCCCTGGACAAGAGCATGGGCTTTGGTTTTGGGACCAGGTAGGGCCATAGGGGGATCACGAGGGAGCTTGGGCTGCTGACAACTTAACTTTTTTTTTTTTTTTTTTTTTAATTCTTCTTTAAGTAATAATTCGTTGAGGTGAGCTGGAACCTCCCAGTCCCTATCTCTAGATGCACTCTGTGTTGTCAGGCCTTCATGTGGTCTTGTGGCCAAGCTGCGTGTGCTCGAGACAGTCTGGGGTAGCTCCACAGCCTCAGCAGACCCTGCCATGGGGTTCATGCCAGGCACTCTGGGGTTGGATCTCCCACTTAGCAGCTGCAGGTGTTGTAAGGGCTTCAGCATGATTCATTTCCCAGGTCACCGGGTGTGGGACCTGTCCTGTGTGCTTAGAAGGTGCTGAAGTTAGTAGCGCAGCTACATCCAGCTTTGGACCTTGTTGGTGAAATAACTTGGCTTTTTTGCTGCTGCGTGTAGCTCAGATGAGTTAATGCCCAAGGATATAGCAAGCTTTGACTGCTTGTGTATACCTCCTGAGGAAAATTGGGTTTCTGTTAGAAGTTTTAATAGGTATATTTAGGTATCATTAATATTTAGGACAGAATACTTTGTTTCTGACCTCTGGAAGCAGGAGTTGAGCTTGGGGTTAGGTAGCCAGGTAAGCAGCTGGTCTGTGTGACCTGCCAGAAGGTCTCTTGTCTGCAGGGCTGATTAGAGGGGAAAAAAGCGTTTTGTAATGTGAAAATAGGCACCTGCACAAGTTAGAGGGCCAAAAGCAAAAAAACCTGCCATGCGTTATGGGGGAAAGCCCCTCTCCTTCCAAAAAAAAAAAAAAAACAAAACCAAAAAGGCATATTGCTTTGCGTGGTTTAGTATATTATTAAAAAGAGTTTCTTGAGAAGGTGCTGTATAAAGAATTACTGTTAATTACTTTTTTCTTCTCCTATCTTTAGCTTGTGGTAACGAATTCACAACTAACAGCTCGGAAGTGGGCTGATAACCTTGGCTCTTTCAGGGGCTGGAATAGCCAGTTTTTGACAGCTTTTGTTGGTCTACTAAATATGGACGACTATAAATGAAACTCAGAAGAGTAAGGAGAATATACATCTACAGCCGTATTGTGCAAGTCTGCAAAGCCAGCACCAGAGCCCTTCAGCAGGAAAGAGCTAAAAAGGCTTGGAGGAGAATAAAGTCACAGCTGGCACCCACTAGTTTAAGTGGTAGTAGAGGAAGTGGGGGAGCAGAGGAAACAGTGCTCGTGTAACTTTGCAGGCTATTGAGCAACTGTTGGAGAAGCAGGGAGCGGAGGAGACTGATAACAAGGTCACTGCAGCAGAGTGACCCCTGGGCTCTTAGCAGACTGCAACAGCTGAAGAAGGGATAAGTGTCGTGTTATGTGGGAATGGCTTTTTGATTGTTTTTCTCTGTACTTGGTAATTGTGTTAAGAAATGCCACATTATTTATATCATATATAATATTATATATTACTATAACCTATCAAAATTAATGAGAGCCTTACTTGATTTCCCTTCTTGAAAAGAGAAAAGGAAAACAGAACTTAGTCTCTTTGTCTAAAGCAGTTTTCTTTTACTGAAAACCATTTTTTTCTGAGTGACATAGTCTCATCCAACAGTTCTCTCAGTTCAGTGCTGTTGAAATAGTGTGTACAAGTTATTATTTTTGAGAGGATCGTATTGGAGTTTGAGCTTGTGTAAGCCAAAGTGTTTTTAATAGATTTATGAATGTGACTGACTTAATGACAATCGTGTTGTGGCAGAGACACGCACAGTATTTTGTGAGCAGTGGTGTGGTTTGGAGATTTTTTTTACTAGCTGTTAATTTTAATAACTTGGATCATTAGCATTTTGTGGGGTGTGCATGTGTGCAGGGGAAATTTGATGTGTTAGGCACAAACTGAGCTTCTCCCCATCTTATCCCTTTCTCCCCTCTACCCCCAGAACATGCTCACATACTCATTCTAAATTTTGCGTTTGAATTGTCTTACAAGCTTGGTTGTGGTCTTGCAAGTGAGTTAAGCTCCCTATAACTAAATGAAGTTGCAGCGCTCGTGCCAAAAGGCTTAAGCTGTAACTGTACTGTTAGGCTACAGTCACGAATCCTTGGTACATGTCCCATGTTGGTATAAATGCTGTCCTCAAAGCACTTCTCTGTAATCTGTGGCAGCATGCTGCTTTTATTGTAACACTTTAAAGGCAAAGCTAAATAGCATTGTAATCTGTAATATAGAAATAATTTATATCATGTTATCTAATGCAACTGGATCCTCTTGTGCTGCAGGAAGTGTAAAAGCTGAAACTGCACAATTGCTAGGCTCTTAGGTTTTTTGTTTTTGATGAACACTTTTTTTTTTTGCCTTTTCCTTTCCTCAATGATCAGTATACTGTGAGAAGGAGTTGTTAATATTTATTATACAGAGATGGGTAAAAACAGTCAATTGGGACAAGGCTTGATGGAATGAAAGAAGTTGTCAGCAATTTCAATGGAGCAGATGGAAGCAGCAAGAAGCTGATTAAAAAGTATGCAGGTTAGTGACCAACGTATGTGAAGGCCTTATATTTTTTTCTCTACTTCTACAAGCAAATGGGCAACGAAACTGAAGTTAGGAAAATTAAAGCTGACAAAAACAGGAGGAAGTCTGTCTCTTCTAAGTTGTCTGCTGAGTGCTAGACCCTTAGTTAACTCAGGGTAGTTATGTTAACTACAATAACAACCTTTTTTTTCAGTGGTGGCCAGCTATAGAGCAAGGGGAAATGGCCACCAACTGAAGCACTAAAAATTCCAGAGGAACTTAAGGAAAAATTTCTTCACAGTGCAGGTGACAGAGCACTGGAACAGGTTTCTAGGAGAGGTTGTGGAATTTCCTTCTCTGGAGATGCTCAAAACCTGCTTGGATGTAATTCTGTGCCATGTGCATGTTCAGGGGGTTGGACTAGATGATCTCTAAAGGTCCCTTCTAACCTTAATGATTCTATGATTCTGTGAATATAAAGCAGAAAAAAAGATGTAGTTCAGGCATTGTAGCATGTTGGACACGAAAATGGGTGAAACATCCTTTTAAACAGATATCAGATGTCAAATGCAAAATAGTTAATGTTGTGAAGAGTTAATTTGAAAATAAAAATAAATGGCTTGGTGAAGTAGTTAATGTTCCTGTAAGGAGGAGGTCACTGTGGCTTAGAGTAAGAGTAATAGCAGTTTGGGGAGTTCTCTTAAATAGAGAAGGATTAATGAAAGGGAAGAACTAGTTGTTGAAACTAATTGTTTTCTGGATACTAAAAGGGCAGACTTGCACAGGTATTTGGATATTGGTGAAAAAGAGGAAGATAGTAGTGGAACACCTCTGGGAGTTTATACTTCTGAAGGAACAAGATAGGAATTTGCGTCTTCTGTTGGCGTGCTCCTATGGTGTAGTAAAAGCACAATGACAGGCAATATTCAGTAACACTGGCCCAATGTACAAACTTGACTTGTAATAATGTTGGGTTAACTTTCCTTTCAAGTAAGTAGTATCCTAGAAACAGGAAATATCTCATTTTTGTTGCATATTAGGTGAGCTAAACCTGCTGCAGATAAGATAAAGCGAACTGGAGTTCCCAGGATTATTCAGTGATTACTGTTGCCTGTGATTCCAATGTTTACTGCAGTCATGAATGAGGAACAGTATAGTATTATCACAATGCAAGAAGTTGTTTTGTTTTTGCTGAAAACTTTGGCTTTTTGTGACGGACTGCATTGGAGTAGAGTATCTGGACAAAGTATTAATATCCTGTGGTGACTTCAGGACATTTGTTTCCCCCATAACTCTTCTACCGCTAAGTGTATTGCCCATGATGGTGGGGCAAGGAAATGTTGGAGCCTCTCATGGAAGGAATTGGGATTGCGATCCCATGCAACTTGTTCCCTGAAATACTCAGCTTAATGGTCAAGTAGTGAGTAGGCTCATTGAGTTTAGAAGGAGTCATAGACAGCACGCTGGCTTTCCCGTGTCTTGAACATGACATGCGATGATGCTTGCTCTATAACTTTCTGTTTCTTCCTTTGCCCTAGGATAGGTAGAAAGAAGACTAGTAGAAGTTGCACTGTTTTATTATTATTATGACCCATGAAATGGGAGGTTTGGTATTGTGTTTGGTATTTTCTTCAACCATTTGCCTACGAAAGGAGTGTTAAAAGTGAATAGGTATTTCAGGGTTGGCCAGGATTGGGTGTGTGTGTGGGTTTTTTTTGTTTGTTTGTTTTTGGGTGGTTTTTTTTTTTTTTTTTGATCCTGCCTAAGAGGCATATTATGTGAAGCTCTTCAGTGTTCTCCATAAGTTGCCTGTCTGCCTTATGTCAAGGATAACTTTGGAATAGCAGGCAGTGAGATGCAGAAGGAAACTTTAATTCCAGGTAATGACAGATGGAGAGAATATGCCTTGATGCTTAGAATCACCTGCATTAAGCTTGAAAAGTCGGAGGATATCAGCTTGAAACAAGATTCAAGTTTTGCATTTTACAGGATGTAGCTGTAATCAGTAAGCAAGACAGAAGCAACAGGAAGTATATGGGGGTTGTGGTGTGAGTTTTTTCACCTTACCTTCATGTAGATG